CATCCTATCAAAGCTGTGTTACCCATCATCAACTGAAGTTGGGTGGGAGTTTCGCTATATCATGGTGTTGTGGCGAATTTGACACATCAAGCCCCCAACTGTCAAGACCAACATGGGCGGAAGTACCGTCTGTATGCGGTAGTTATATTGCTCGGGCTTTAAGGGGTTGGATACGATAGACGTGGTGTACCTTCCGGGCAACGATCGACAGTCGTGATAACAGATTGAGGGTCTTTGGGTTGCACGGAACTCTGAACTATCAAAGTTGATAGCCGGCAGATGTTTGTGGTGTATGGGCTGAACCACCTTCACATACCTGATGTTGAGCTTTGTCTCCCAGCACTGAATGTCTCTACAAGATGAGCAGCAGGGCTTTGAGTCGGGAGTCTGACGCTAGATCCATCGATCTAGACGGTTGTAGAGCATTCAATGCTGGTTGACCTGCGCTGAACATGGACGGAAAACTTCCATTCACAGCAGTGAACTTAGTCACCGGGTCTTGGAACTGTGACTCTGTAGGTCAAGATGGCCTCTAGTAGAGATTCCATCGAAGCATTCTAGTTGAGGTCTTGAGTCGATACAGGTCCCGGGAGTCCTATTCCGTTTCCAGCTCCTGTCTCTTGCAACAACTGCACAAAACGGATGTCCTGAAGATCGATCATCAACTTGCGGAAGTAAATCCACTCATGTACACAGTCTTTCACAGTTTGAACTGATACCTGAGGGTCTTTCGGTTGCGATGTATACAGTTTTCCATGCTGGACTATGTTCAATATTGTCCGTAGTATCGAGGTTATGTCTACACCATCTCGAATCATCAAAACTGATGTCAGAACCCTCTGCCGCCTTTGAAAGTCTCTACCATCTTCATCATACCGAACATGATTCTGACGAAGGCCGAACTGTCGTCCGACGTGAGTGGATGCGAGCGAACGTCAACAAGCGAAAATCATCGAATACTTCTTCGCAAAATAGCAGCCATTATGCAAATTACGGACACACCCTCCATGTCCATCCCCAAAACGAAGACAACAGATGGTTTAGAAAGAATTCAAGATCTTGCGGCTCAAACCCACCTCGATGAGAGCCTCAACGTCAACCGGTGTAAAAAGGGATCGTCATTCGCTGAAATCATAGCACGTTAGCCGCAACCCATTCACTGCACTACATGCGTTTGGTTCTGGGACCCCTAGAAGAGCCCTAAAGAGCTTTCTGTGCAACCGAGAGACGATCCGGCGACCGGCAGTGCCGATCGCCCAAAGGCCAAGATATCAGCAACCCACAGAGAACACTTCAATGGTGATTCTAGCCCCTATGATGCAACTATCTGCTTGTTGGGCGACCAATATGCATACCCCCCTTGCCAACACGAGCCGCACTACAGCACTGCTACAGCAACGAGGACGCAGAACGACGCCAGCGAAAAGCCCAGAAGATGCACACCTATCCAATTGCAGAGAATGATAGACGGGATGGGCGCGGCTTAGAAGAGGAGATGGGTTAGTATCATGCAAAAAGGGTTCAATCTTTCTTTGCCTGGGCTTACTTGGCTGCTTGGCTATCTGTCCGGATATCAAATCGGGTTACACAATCCCAGGTTGCCAGACGTTGGCGGGTATGGCAAGCGTGGTGATGATATGAGGGTGTGCAACTGTGAACATCTTCAACAGGGTAGAATGGAAGATGTTCAAGATGAGCATCACGGCTTTCCTCCCCGTCTCGGCCCCCGTCGTGGCCCCGTCGCTATTCCTTTCTCTTTGGTCTTTCTATCCCACCATTCCGGCCACGACGGGGAAGGCATGCATGAGCTGTGCTGCATGCAATTTGGCAATTGACTGCCAGTCCATTGGCATGCGCTTCTATCGTTATCTCTGTACCTTCTTGTTGCTCGCTGCACACCCATCCCCATTGCACAATTCCTCACAGCCACAATACCGGTCTGCCACACAGCAGATGTTCAACAGGATTCCAGACCGGGACAAAAGCACAGTGACGGACCCTGTCAATTATTCCATCACAAATAACACGCAAAGGGTTCTTCCCTGCTTCCCTGTTCTTTCCCGCCGTCTTCCACTTGTCGTTGACGATCTGATCTACAGGTGGGACCGAGACCAAAGATCGACAAAGACCCTGACGACGCCCAGCGGGTGCATTGGTGCAGTGGTGCACAATGATATCAAAAGGATCATCGAATCTTATCTCGACAAGCGGGTGTTTACAGATACAGATCCTACCTGTACAGAGCGGTTTCGGAGATGCACACACGGGATAACGGTGAGAGATGCAGCAGCGTTGGAGCACAGTGTCTTTGCACGTTCCAGCGTTTTATTCTCTAGTCCTTGAAGACTGGAAGGTTGAGAGACGTGACACGTTACTTAACGCCGCAGAGGTAGCTTCGCTCATCGGTAACCGTCTAGGCCTACACCACGAAGGTCCAGGGGAATGAGGGTTATATGCGATCAGCCGTCGGATAACACCTAGCTCGAAAGCTAAAGTGCTATTGCGTACCAATTGCGCAATAAGAGTCCTAGGGGTTTGAGTTCGTCTATCTCACAGTTTGCGGAGTGCACTCCGGTTGTGTAGCTGCTTGTGGTTTGTTCGGTGAGTTCTTTCTGGCTCTGTGCTATGATGTCGGTCTGTTCTTGGGTGACGGAGGTATGGTGAGCAAGTACAGGCAGTAAAGCCAGGTGGACGTGCAAGCAATGAGCCAGTAATGGTTTGCAAGCTTGGAGAAGACTTTATTTCGCATCTAGTCTCGGTGCAAGGGTCTGTCATCCATGCTTCAACCTCAAGACTGGAAGACGAGACGCCATCTGTCTTCTATTGAGGGTTCAATGTTGAAGCTTTGAACACAGGATTATGAAAATATGAACAAGTGTTCCAACCATCCAGGAACCAGATAGAAACAATGAAAGATCTAGACACCATACGTCTGAGATCCAACAATCTTGACAATTAGACTCGCAAAATACCCCGATGCCTTCCAACTCATAAGCCTAAGCTCTCCAAACAAACTTCCAGTCCTCTATTCCTCCTAAGTACAAGTCCCAAAAGGCGGGAATTGCATCGTTCCACACTTATACGGTCCACCACACCACTTGTCGAATCCAACTTGACCCTGCTTGAAGCAAACGTAGAGAGAATCGTAGATATGCGTTGGATCCGTTGGCTGTTTGTATGATTGGAGGACCTTGATCAAGTCTTGTTCGGTTGTACCTGAAAGCCAAAAGACTCGATGTCAGCATCAGAAGAAAGAAAATAGGATTGAACTCCGACATACCGCTTTTGATGAGATCCCAACCGCAGACGCTGTAGCTGTAAGGGCAACCTTTGATTTCAGCCTGGGCAAGCTCAGCGGTTGACAAGAGGATGGCTGAGCTGGCGAGAATGGTTGCTCACCTAAACCCCGTAAGTCTTCAGCGGCTCTGAGAGAATGAGACTACATCGAATCCAGTATCGGCAACGATGATGGTCTGTCCTGCACCGGAAAAGGTATCAGTGGTGGGCTTGTCCGACCTGCCTGGTGCTGGTTGATCTAGGACAGATATATTGTGCCGAGCAATGTTGTTGGCTAGAAGAGTTGATGAGGGCGGATCTCCTCGATCGCTCTAATAGCATCGATATAACTTATACGGACCACCGCGTCAGCGGTAGCACATAGCGTTAAACGGTTCGCACAAACTTCAATCGAGTTTTGTTCAATGCCCGGGATAGCTGCCAACTAATCCAGGATTGAATCCACCATCTTGTCTTCATCTTTGTGTACACCCATATGAAGATGAAGATGTCTTTTGGCACCAGCTTCTTGCATGCCATAGCGTAAGAACAGGTCTATTTTGGCACATGCCGGAAACACATTGACCGTTATGACGAAGTTGAAATTAAGAAGGAGCAAAAGGTCGGTGGGCAAGTATCGGCATAGGTGTATATCCTGAATATAAACGATGTTGTAAGCATTACACTACCGCTACCTTCAAAGGAATGGGCTTGTTACCGTTGCCAAAGCCTCCAAGAAAGTTAGGCCAATGTTGCAAAGTTGATTTTCTTGATCAGTGCTGAGAAGGCCTGTTGTACGGATGTAGATGTAATTGGTGTGTTGAGCATCTAGGGAAGATGGCTGTGACAAAGACATCTTGTTCCCGTTCAGGTAAAAACAGGCCTCCTCGCTAACTAGTCATTGTCTGAACACCTCTAGGGGGAAGAATGCGTCGTATTAAGTTGACAAGTGGTCGGGTTACGCATTAGTAGCATCTAGACATGAGTTCATGGGCTCCTTGGCGTCCTGGGCGGAGTGGGAGCGGCATGGTTCCAAAAGGTGATTGTTGAGGTGTCAAATGCGATCGGAGCGAGACTTGCGATGGCGACCAACTGGAGGTTTGACAGAACGATTGAAGTCAAGGTGAGAGGATGAAAAACAAGCCCAAGTTTAAATTAACATTGAGACACAGAAGCTTGGTTTGAGCAACGTACTAGAAGACACATAAAAAGTGCTGATGAGTTATGTTACAACGGTGAAAGGGAAGGGAAATATCAGATGTAGCAGAACAACCGGGAAGTCCGCTCATATATGTCCACCAGGAAAGGATAACCGTGCCTGTTGCTGTGTCATGGAAAGTTCTACCCAAGTTCCTGCACATTGACGAAATCAGAGGTTGCCGGTGCTTCCTGCAATGTCTTGTATTGTTCTGCAGAAGGCTCTCTCCGACATGCAAGAAAATGAATTACAAATGCTACATGCGTACGGTATGTAGGTATTTCCGCAAGCCGTCCCCAGCCCAGCTAAAATCGCGGAAAAACAATGGCAGATCGGCTGAGGCGCTCCCGCTCGAGAGGGGGAGGGACCGCTTCTTTGCAGAGCTGAGGTGGCCGGAAAGGTTCTCATTGTTTTCAACCCTATCTCCATCTCCAACCCACAACTCCATATCACCACCCCTTTACTCCTTCCGCCTTCCATTCCAGAGCTTCCCCTTTGACCCTTCCCCAAAGATTGAATCTCTACCTCAGTTGAACCTGCTAAAGAACTCCCAAGTGTTCCTCGGCGCAAATGGCGTGTTCGATCCCGGATCCGTCTGGCTAGGATTATGATCACCACCATGAATAACCCACACAACCTCCTTGCCCTGCTGACAGCCCTGATAATCAACCCTAGTCGACTTTCCTCCCTGGCCGGGGTTCGGCTCGCTGACCGCCCTGCAGCCATTATTCCTCACGAACCGATCCCTCAGCTGTCTTCCTCCTGACACATTAAGCACCGAGTCGCTCGTCCCATGCTGCGCGTAGTACGCCACGGGATCATTCCCGCCCGCGCAGCCGCTCAGCAAACTACCCGATAAAACGGCCACAGCGCGGATTTTGTTCGGCCTTGAGCAAGCGAGCGAGTAACTCATTGCGCCGCCGTAGGAGAATCCCGTGCTGAAGACGAGGTTGGTATCAATGCAGAGACCATCGCTGACGCTCTGCAGCATGCTATCAAAGAAGGTGACGTCCTCGCCGTTCTGGTTTCCCCAGCCGGCATTCAACCCCTGCGGGACGACGTAGATGGCGGACTTGTTGGTGTCCAAGGGCGGCAAGCCGTAGTATGGCAAGACGCCGCCCTGGTTCGGGTTTTCGCCCTGGATGATCTTTTGCGCGGAGCCGCCGAGCTGGTGCCAGAGGAAGATCAGCCGGTACGGGTTGGATTGGTTGTAGTTGTCGGGGAGGCGGAGGGTGTATTGTCGGGATTTGCCGTTGACGTTGGTGTTGACTGTTTGGCCGTTGCGGAGGGTTGGGCCTTTGCCGCAGCCGGCGGAGGAGGCGGCGGCGGTGAGGAGGGGGAGGCCAAAGGAGAGGAGGAGGAGGAAGGTGGCCAAGAGGCGGGAGTGGACGCCGGCCATGATGGAGAGTGTCACTGGCTGGAGGATGAGAAGAGGAGGTGAGGTGAGGTGGTTTGATGAGATGTGATGGTTGGATTATGAGTTGAGTAATGGAAGAGAAGAAGGGGCTTTATACCTCTGTGGTCCGCAAGCTCTTGGTCCACATTGTCTTGCCTTTGTTCATGTGTTTGAACTTGATCTCCTCAACAGACAACAAACCCAACACCTTCCTTCGTTTCCACACATCAACGCTCCCATCCCCTTCATTCACGAAAACACAACTGCCGAACTCTCGTCGTCTGACCATGAAACAGCACCAACCGACCATCAACCCTCAACCTCCAATCGAGCCATCAAGCGCACCTATGAGTTTTGGTATCGAGAGGACCTAAGTCACAGGCTCACAGCCAAGAGTCCCTTCCAGCGTGAAACCTGTCGGAATCTGTCGAAATCTGTCGACGGAGGTTGAGGTAGTTGCACATTGCGCGATTGCCGAATCCGGATCACGGAGCCGTTGCCGTCGATCAACACGGCAAAGTGTAGCAGGTTGCCAAGTCCTGAAGACCCGGTAGCAGGTCGTACCAGGAACCGGCAAAAGAGTTGGGTGCAACTTTCCCCAGTTTTCAAGAACAAAAGATCGTCGATGGTACCTTGGAGTCATGATGCGCGCCAATCGGAATGGTGAAGGTGAGAGAGGTTTGGACTTGTGGGAGGTGTTCGGGTTAACTGTTGCTGTTTGAGGTCAACTTGTAGGCGGACAAATGATCGAGCGGATATGTGTTCCGCAGGAGTTATGCTCATATGCTGGGGATGGGCGCCACACTTTCCACTTACAATTGAACTTTGGGCTGCCGTTCTTTCTCTTTTTTCCTCCCTCCTGCCCTCTTGGGCACAATACCTTTTCACATCATACCTATTCTCACATCTCTTTGAAGAAATGATCAATGCTTGTCAATCTCCTCCTTCAGCCTTCCACCCAATTGCGCAAGAAAGACATGCTTTAGCTCATCTCCAAAGACAGGTGCGCAGATCAAGTATCCCAATGCATGTAAACGTCAAATATGTATTGCGGTTTTCTTGGCCAAGCTGATGTACAGGGCAGATAAAGGTAAAAAACCCCGATGAAGTCCCAGGTGGTCGACAACATCTCACAGCTTCCAGCCCTATCAAACTGTTGCACCTGCACGCGATAAATGGGAAGAAAGAAGAAAGAAGAAAGAAGAAAGAAGAGAAGAAATAAACTTTTGATTGTCGAAGGAAGCATGAAGGCATAAAGGGAAGCAAGACCGCCTTGACACGACAGTCAAGACCAAGTGGTCAATATACCTCGTGCAAGCGGTGGCAAAGATGCAACCCAGAGTGGTGGGATCTCCAACACAAACGCTAGAGCTGAGCAGCCCCAATGTTCTTCCAGCCCTGGATCTCGTCCAGAGTGAGGACATAGTCGTGGTGATAGATCTGTAGCGTAAAAAGCCGGTCAGCAAACATCCAACACTTTTCCTTGCCATCTTCTCCATCTTCTTCTTCTTCAGAGAAGCTGTACTCACCTCATTCAAAACAGCCGGACTATTCCAGTCAGCATTATCAATAAAGCTGTCCCCCCAGGTACAAAACCACAACCAGTGCGCCCCATAAGCCACCAACAAATCCGGCCTCGGCGCCGCTCCGACCTCCGCCGCCGCAACCATCTTCCTATCCTTCCCCAGCGCCACCAGCTCATTGTACTGCGCCGACATCGGCCCGTTGCCCTGGGCATACACATCCGTGCTAACAATATCCACCACCTCGTCGCCGGGGTACCAGTCCTGTGCTACCGAGTTCCACACCCAAATGAGGTTATTCAGTCCATGCACCTTGGTCAACCGCTCGTACATGATGTGGTAGAGCTGCTTGGCGGGCGCAGAACCTTTCGCTCCCCACCAGAACCAACCCCCCTCGGCCTCGTGCAAGGGACGCCAAAGGACGGGCACGCCCGCGGACTGCAGACGCTTGAGTTGGTACGCGATGGCGTCGATGTCGCGGATCAGCAAGTTGTAGTTGGTTCCTTGGGGGTTGGCTAACGTGGCGGCGATGTCGAAGTTCGTGGCGCGCGTGTAGAACCCGCTCCACCAGGGGTTTTCGCTCGTGTCGTAGAGACCGGTGGGCGCGTTCCAGTGCCAGAGAATGGAGACGATGCCGCCGCGCTGGTGGTGAGTGATCGCTTCCTCGACGGCGTGGGAGACATCCCCTTGGTGGGCGACGCGGGAGGGGGAGTAATCCATTAGATCGGAAGATACCAAGGCGGGGGTCTTGCCGGTGGTGGAAGAGACGTAGTTGGCGTAGGACAGGTCCTGTTGGCCCGAGAGGATCTTCTTGCCGTAGATGGGAGCGGAGGTAAGCGTACAGCTGCTTGGCTTCCGTAGAGGCGGAGGGGTTGACGAGATTGGTGTTGATGTTGTGCGCTCCGCCCTTCGTAGCGGGGGTAATGAGGATGTAATCGATCAGGTACCAGCCCCAGTTGCTGACAATCTCGAGGGTGTTGGTGCCTTCGTTCAGCAAGATCTGGCCGCCGGAGACGGTGGCGAAGGAGTCGGTGGCCGGGAGAGACACTTCGGTGGAGGCGCCGTTGAGGACCACGTTGGTGCGCTTGTCGCCGTAGATGCCCGCGTAGCGGATCGAGAGGTCGTACAGCTTGGCGGAGGAGGAGGGAATCGTGAAGGTGATCTTGTCGGTGCCGGTGTCGAAGCCGCCGACGTATCCCGAGCCGGAAAAGCCGGATTGGGCAGTCAGGATCTGGGTGCCGGAGAGGACGGCGTCTTCGGCTTCGTACTTGGTTGATTCATCGCGGCAGACGGGTTTCGCGGTGGTCAAGTTGGCCAAAGCGGCCAGGCCGTAGAGGAGGCCGATGAGTCTGGCCATTGTTGATGTGCAGCTGGTGATGAGCTGGCTGGTTGATGAGGAGTGTCTGTCCAAAACATGTTCGAGATGAGTGATGGGACAATGATGTTGTTATAGTTCTCCAAGAATTAGAGAGAGAGAAGGTTCCATTCTCAGTTCTCGCGGATCTCAGATCTCCAGGTACCCAGATTCGGTTCCATGGAGCATCACGAGCCGATCTTACCAATTGTTGATGGCGGACATTCGTCACCCTGTTTGCGACTGTTCGCGAAGGCGGAGCGTCGTCCTCCGTGAGTACAGATGTCCGAAAAGGGGATGTAATTGTCACGGGTATTTGTGGGGATTTGCATTCGGGGGTACCTTGGCCGTTGTCTCAGGGGTGTCAGGGGTGTCAACACGACTGTTAGGGGCTGTAAACACGAGAGAACCGCCCGATGGGGAGTTTGACGACAACGGAGGGAGGGGTTCCGTGAGCTGGATTCGGAAGTTTGTTTTGACTGATGGTGTTAACTGAGGTCAGTTATGGTAGATGCTGGAAGCATGTGAATTGGCGGCTTGGAAAGGGGTACATACATTGGCTGTTGTCCTAGGTATGCCAGGGGTGTCAACACGAGAGAGCGGCCTAATGTGGACTCGACGACGATGGGGGGAGGGGTTCCGTGAGCTGAAATGGGAATTCTGTTTTGATGGCATCAGGTGAGTTGTGTTAGATGCTGCAAGCACGTGAAATAGCAAGCTTGGAAGGAAGGATCTGCTATTTGATGCTTCAAATCCAATGTCTCACAAAAGAAGGGTGAGAATAATGCTGCTCAAGCGGACAACTTGGAGGAGCCCCTCAAGCCATCCAAGCCGGCCTCGCGCACGAAATTAGGAGTGTCCGTTGATGAAACCGTTGATAGTACACTGCTATCGAAGGACTAACGTGGCTAAGATAGCCGCAGCGATTAACAGCATGAGTCAAACAACAAGAAATGCTGTTCTTACAAGTTCATAACCATCCATTCTCCGTCTGACCCGGGCTTCTCGAGTAACCAGTACACATATCTGTTTCCATCCAGGCCCGTGTGGTTATCTGTCGACCACTCGTTGGTTTCCCGTTGATCCAAATGCGAAATTCAGAGGAGCTCTGCAAGCATTCTTCGCCGTCCACTCACGTTTGCCACGAATAACATGGACCAGTAGGTAGATTTCTTGGCCTACATGTATTGTTAAGTGTTGGACAAGCCCGCTGCCTGCGACATCTCCCATTCCTCTTGCTGTTCATTGCTTCGCTGCATAGCCGTGTCTATGAAGCTCAGATATAGAGGATCTTTATCAGTGTGGGCAAAGGTCAGTATGTGTCTAGGGCCTAAAAGGCAAGCAGTCATAATGAGATCTCTAGTTACTTACCATGACGCACTGTGTCAATGAGGGCTTGCGCGTCCGGCGCATTCGTAGATATGACCCGGACACCATTGAATCCCGAAGCCAGGCTGTGGTCCTTAAGGAGGACCACTCCAGTAGGTAGGTGCGTCACGTCAACCTTACAGTCAAAATAAACTCCCGCTTGTGTGACCTGGGCGGGTAGAGCGAAAGTGTCCAGCAGGTGAGGAGCAGGGATGCCAAATGGAAGAAGCGCGATTACGGTCTGTTCATGGATCCGTGGGATTGCCTCAAGTCCCACCAAGCTCAAAGCATCGCCCTCCGCAAAAAGTAGGCGGAACTTTGATGTGGGCATTTCTATCCGTGTGTTCATGGTGGTCAACGAATTCCAGATTGAATCCCGAAAGTTGACGTCCGTTCGCCACATGAGCTCATTGATACCAGGGTTGAGCGTCCAGATAATCTCGATCTTGTAGGCTTTTCTGTCCTTGTAAGCAGGGGCCAAACGGGATCCGAGGTGGTCGAAAGCGAAGGCCACAGCCCCTCCCGAGAGGAAAGTACCATAGGCGCCAAAAGGGGAGAAGAAATCTTGCCCCGAAATTATTAAGGGTAAGGGACCGGGAAGAGATGCGTTGATGAGAGAAGCTTGCACAGATGAGTTGACCACAGAAGCTGCCACAGAAGCTTGCACAGAGGTAGACATGGAGCCTGTTCTGATTGCTGTTGTTAAGATGGTTAGGTATCTAGGGCAGGGGCCTGCAGTTAGAGGTAGAGAACCGAAAGTAGATCAGCTGAGATTGGCAGTGTCGGCACTTACGACGTGCGTTGAAGAATGCTGTATTGTATCCAACAAGGATGAATGCCACGTGCGTTGTAGTGATGGAGATGTCAAAATGGGCTTGGGTATGCAACAGAACAGGCCAAAAAAATCGTGTCGAGTTATCGGTGCTGGACAGAACAGGAACACAAAAACAATGCATCTGACCATGGAAGTGCGCCATAAGGGCAATGGCCTTGATTTCAGACTTGGGTCGGGTCCGAAATACGGAACTTTCTTATGATCCCAGGTCCTGCCTTCCCCCAGCATTATACAGCCCCTTTGTCAAGGGAAGGAAGTAAAATCACTGTGAACGATAATTCGGCTCAGGATACATGTCTTTCTGACCTTGGAGCCTTCGTTCTTTCCAGTGACGACTAGTCGTATTATCCGTCATGTGGGATGGCGAAGGCGGAAGAAGGGCGCAAATGCCGTCAACTTCACATGTGGTTGGTTCAGACACTCCGAACTCCACGAGACAGGAGCATTCCAGATGTCTGGTACTACCTAGAATTTCACAAAGTATGAACATGTGCAACATTTTACGGATTTCAGTTTCGCTAGGAGCCATGACTACCCCGCGATGAACATCCAGGTAGGTACCTCTACTCATGATGACTGGGTCATCATCCGTACACCAATGAGAACTCTGCTCTTGCCAAAAAAAGTGAGAGATTTGATGGCTCAACTACCTCTATCGAAGGATAGTAGCTACCTACCTAGGTAGCGTACTCAGCACAAAACCAACATAAAGAAACCATTATTCTGACTCCATGTCTTCCATGGTTCTAATCCCCTGGCCCGGGGCCCTCGGGCCATCAATACCATCGGAACCTGCCGACAGTGTACCCGTATCCATGCTCTGGTCCATTTAGGCCTCAATCCGTGCCCAAATGCTTACCGAAGTCTTGTAGCTTACCCCACCAATCAAGCTGAGAAATGACGGGTAAGGTACCTATAGTCCTCAATGATCCTATCTCTCGAGTTGAGAAACACCACGAGTACATGGGATACCTAGAGGTAGGGTGAAGGGGTTACTCCGCGACCTCCTCGACCTCATCATCTCTCGGAGCGTTCAAGTTCGCCTCGTGCTGGGCCAGTGCCTGGGCCAGGCGCTCCGTCCTCTGCGTTCTAGCGACCCTGACCCATATAACCATATTTCCTTGCACAATTTTCGCTGTAGATGGGGAGTCAGTACAAAATATCCGTGAAATAAACTATGATAGAGAACGAAATCAACATGAGTTTCAACTTGGGTAGTAGACTCACTGTGTTCCTCGTTAGCGTTCCCGGCAAGGGGCGAATCCTGCGACACCACCTTGACGCCCCTCTCGGCCTCGACATCTCCCAGTTCCTTGTCATCTGTACCCACCGGTCTCATCTTGACAGTGACTTCGTGGCCGTTGATCCTGTTGCGGATCTTGACGCTGCAATGGAAATAGATTCCGTCCTTCTTGGTCTTGTCGGATAGACCTCTGGGAAGGACCGGGGCAGGAGGTCCAAGTGGCACCACCACCACCACCACAATCGCGACGTGGTTCGCATCTGCAGGAGGATGTAATTGAAGGTTTACCAGTTCCTGGGTTAGGGTGAAGCTTTGGTCTCAGCAGATGAAATTGCCCGTCTTTGAGTTGGAATGCTTGTTCTTTCTCATGGTCGGCCCAGGCATAAGTGCTGCCGTCAGGACAAACGGCCTTTGTCAAAATTCCGATGCATGTCCTCGTTGAATGAATACGTGACAAAAATCCGGTAGTTGGCCTTATCGTGGGGATTAGGGTCCGTCGTTTGTTTGCCTCATAGGTAAAGGCAAATCCCCCATTTTTTTTGAGTATTTTCGCCGTCGGCTCTGTCGACGGGTTGTTGTCCCGCAACCATGACCTTCCTGGGGCCTGGAAAGGACAGGTCAATCGGTTTGCTCTGCTGGGCAATTGTAGACATGTCTGCTTCTTGCGTTGGAGATGGTGTCCGGAGCAAAGTCTTGTGGGTGGCTGGAGGTGGATTAGGAGACGTGAAAAGTGATGATGTTTGACTGGAAGGATGGAGGTTGAAAGATGCTGTATCGTATTCCACCAGGGGCTGAACGTTTCAGTGAAGATAGAATAAGTCAAACAGGTCGATGATGATGCTATTGGGATAATAAGGAGGAGAATGGTAAAGCCTCCCGTATTTATCTCTCCAAGCCAGCCATATTCACGAGTGTCCATGGAGTATGTCGATGATTCAAAAGGATGCCGTGTCCCAACACCAACCAACTGAACCGAACATGATGGTGAGATGCTGAGATTCATTGTTCTCAAGTTGTGTTTGAACTCCTTGATCGGCTCTATTGGCCCTTTAGGCCATGAATCCAGTGTCTTCAGTCTGTTGGTGTTGGATCCAGGTACATTGCGCAATGGCTTGGAGACGATATCGTTGCGGTAACACTAAAGATTCTTTCGGGATCAGCTCGCACATGTCATTCGTAGTGTCAACAGCAAGGAAACCAAGATTGCTTTAGTGTTGGGTTGGAGGACGTCTGACGAATGTCGTTGAGGGTGACATGACGGTTGGTGCTTCTGCCATGGTTTGTTGAGAATCATTCTGACAAGTTCTTTGAAGTTTCGAGAGTGTGAGCGGTTCGTGCTCCAGCAGGCGTCTTTTGTTGAGTCGCGAATATGTTCTCGCTCAAAGGCGTGAGCTCCAAATAGCCACGGGTCAATACCGTACAAATGAAGGTCTGTTGGCTCATCGTGATACCTTCCATTGCCGTCAAGTAGAAATTCGCAACGGAATCTGAAGGAATGAGACAAAGAACCGAGCGTAGGATATAGCCTAGAAGGTAGTATAAGTATGAATGTTTGTGGCAAGAAGAGTGCAGGCGGCCTGACGGCAGGGAGGATACCAGTGATTGCGGGACCGGTCAAGAGCAGCAAATGTATCATGTTGACCACGGCAGACGGCATGTACCTGGAGGTACCGATCAAGCAGAGCGACGGGGAAAAAACCTGGGATATACGAATAAAGACCACCAAGCATTTGAAAAGGAAGTATGATCCACCAAAGGCGAGAGTCGGTTTCAGAAACGCAGAGCGGGTTCGTCTCCTAGCAGGTCCAACGACGGAATGGTCCAAATGCACCATCAACTGTCGGGTACGTATTCAAACACGCCCCCGAGTTTCATCATATTTCTCCGCGGTTTCAACGGTCAATAAGGAGCCGCCTTCATCACTTCTTTGCCTGGTCCAGGTTACGACACGGGTTTAGTTGGTGGTGATGACCCCCGAGTCCGGACCAACACCGTTACATCAACCAGGGAAAACTTTCGAACGCGAGCGCCAATAAAGGTCCTTGAGATCCCGTCATCACACCCCACGAACCCCACAAGTAGCGGCCGCCGCTGGAAACGCACTTTCTACTTTCCACGGCATGTTCAGAATGTTGAAGCCATCACATTCTTTG